GGCTGACAGTCTGTGCCTCATGGTATTCTCCTTTTGGTCCAGTGTTCACCCCGCCAGTGAAGGATGGACAAGATCCCTTTGAAACTGGGAGTCTTGCTGAGGACCTGGGATACAGTGTCCAGATGAAGGATGGGGTAGTTTACATCTACGGAGACAAGGCAGCGATTGGCAGAGATGAGCCAAAGGACCTGCCCTATCCCAACCTGGAACACTTTGTTGATGACATGAACTTCCTCTTGGCCCTGATTGCCCAGGGGCCTGTGTAAGTACACAACCCAGCACAACTGGGTGCAGCTGAACAGGTCCTGCCTCAGCAAGCAGAGGTCAGGGCAGAGCCAGGGTTGTCCTCTCCTCTTCCTGGGAGGAGGGAGGAACCCGCTGATGACATAGCTGCAGCCTGCTAGCTACCAAAGTGTCCTTGGCCCTTGTCAGCCGTCTTGATTGAGGTCTTAAGCAAAGTCAGCATTCAGGGATTGGAGATGTGCCCTGCATGTATGCTCACACCTGGCTAGGCCTTCCTTCAAAGCTCTGTAATAGAGCCAGGAGAAGCACCTTAGGGAAGCACGCCAGGCCAGCATGAGCTCCTCCACCTCAGATGAAAGCTGCATCCCTGTGTTTGATGGGCCATGCCCTTGTGTTGAGTGGTAAGGAGCCCAGTCACTGTTCTGCCCTTTGCTTTCACTAGTAAGACCTACGCTCATCGGCGCCTGAAGTTCCTTTCATCCAAGTTCCAAGTGCATGAAATGCTAAATGAGATGGAAGAGATGAAAGAGCTGAAGAACAACCCCCACCGGGACTTCTACAACTGCCGGAAGGTAAGTGGTAAAGCTTACAGCCATAGTGACTCTGAAGACAAGCTGTCTTGGTGCCTTCCCCTCCCAGAGAACTGGATATTAGAGTCAAGGTCTGTGGCACCTACATTGTTCCTGCTAATGGGATGGTGCTGACTGGGCTGCTCTTGACCCAGGTCTATTGTGTTCATCTGCTGGGCTGAGCCATTCTCCTCACACACCTTGGGCTTACCTAAAGGGTTTTCTAGCCAAACTGTGATGGTACCTGAGCATCCCAGGTTGAAGCTAGATAGTTGTCTCTCTGGTTTCTCAGGTGGACACACACATCCATGCTGCAGCCTGCATGAACCAGAAGCATCTTCTGCGTTTCATCAAGAAATCATACTGTGTGGATGCTGACCGCATAGTTTATGATGCCAAGGGGAAACAGCTCACAATGAAACAGCTCTTCCAGCAGCTCAATCTGCACCCCTATGACCTGACGGTGGATTCCCTGGATGTCCATGCTGTAAGTGGTAGGGCATTAATGTAAGATTACTCTTGAGTAACTCTCATCCACCCCTGTAGGCATGGCTTTTCCCCTCCTTGTGTACCCATACTGTGCCATGTTAGTGATTGTGGCAGGATGTAGCAGCTCCTGGCTTTCCCATTTTGGATCAGTCCCTGCTCAGCTGGTATGCTTGGACCCAGTGTATGTGTGTAGTATTTGCCCCCAGTCCTCCCTACTCCAGGGGCGGCAGACATTTCAGCGCTTTGACAAGTTTAACGACAAGTACAACCCCGTGGGTGCCAGCGAGCTGCGTGACCTCTATCTGAAGACGGAGAATGCTATCAATGGCGAGTACTTTGCTACCATCATCAAGGTGAGAATACAGGGGAGGAGGGAGTAGTTAGGCTGTGGTGCGGCTGTGCCCAGGGGCTGGCAGGTCCCCACGTAACTGTTCTGGTTTGCAGGAGGTTGGCTCTGATCTGGAGGATGCCAAGTACCAGCACGCAGAGCCTCGCCTGTCAATCTATGGGCGGTCAGCTGAGGAGTGGCCCAAGCTAGCCAGCTGGTTCAACGAACATCGGGTCTATTCCCGCAACATGAAGTGGATGATCCAAGTACCCAGGATTTAGTATGTGCTGTGGGTCTGAGAGAACACTGTGCCTTACAGTGCACTATACCTCATTTTTTATCCTGAAGGAATTATGGGGACAGTAGGCCATGTGGTTCTTCTGCTAGCAGCTAATACTTGTCTCTGTCCACAGTGATGTGTTCAGGTCTAAGAATTTCCTCCCACACTTTGGGAAGATGCTGGAAAACATCTTTGTTCCTGTGTTTGAGGCAACTGTCAATCCTCAAGCCCACAAAGAGCTCAGTGTCTTTCTACGCCATGTGAGTGTCAACTGATGATGCTGTCAGGGTATGGTGAGCACTCACCTTCTTGTTTGTGCACCAGAAATGGGGTATTGTCCCTGACATGGAAAATATCATCAGTGGGCTTGTGGCCCTACTGCCACATTCTGAGAAAGGGGGTATGTGTCCAGAAGTGCTGGGAAGGGGTCAGACTCCCTGAGTTGGCTGCTGTGGGGCTGTGAGAAATGCTACCCAGTCACCTCCTGGAGAAGTGGTTTGGTGTAAGCTTTATTTCTAGCCCTTGTTAAAGCTTGGAGGTTTGTGAGGAGCAAGGTGTGCAGCCTTGCCCCTGACTCTGCTCTTGGCTGGGGCGGGGGGTACAGGCTAAAGCTGGGCTATGGCAAGCTGCAGTGGGGCAGGGTGAGCCAGCTGAGGCGTGCAGGTTTGAGATGCAGCTTTTTTGTTACCTTGCCAAGCAGATCACTGGCTTCGACAGTGTGGATGATGAATCCAAGCATAGTGGACACATGTTCAGCACTAAAAGTCCAAAGCCAGAGCAGTGGACTTCTGAGAAGAACCCATCCTACACCTATTATGTATACTATATGTATGCCAACATCCTGGTGCTTAACAACATACGCAGGTGAGGCCCAGGATTCATTAAGGGGCCTGCGATGGGCTGGCAGAAGTGGGGTCTGCCTCATGAGTTGTCTCAGCACTTTGATTGTTGGTGTGGAAGAAGTGGGGCCCTCCTTGCTCCCCCACCAGTGTAGTTTAAAGCTTCATGTCCCAGAGGAATCCAAACACTCCTCAGTAGAAAGTGATGAACTGGATGAAAACTGGGGGATTGCAGAGATACCACCTAACCCTGTTGCTTACCTGTTCTGAGTCCTCCTTCCATGTACCTAGGCAGCGTGGTATGAACACGTTCCTCTTCCGTCCACACTGTGGAGAAGCTGGGGCCGTCACACATCTGCTTGCAGCCTTCATGACAGCAGATAACATCTCCCACGGTCTCAACCTCAGGAAGGTAAGTGGAATAGTCTGCCACAGAGCAGCCCAGGCATGGCAGAGGAGAACATTTTCACAGCTGGCCTCCACTGTAGCTGACAGTTAATTGCGCCTCTGCTTTGGACTGACACAGACAGCCTGGCTTCAGACAGATGCCACACAATCCTCTGGGTTTCTCCAGTCATGTGTGGGGCTGTAGCTGAGAAACATACTCAGGTTTCAGAGGTTCAGCCTCACAGACCTATCCTTGGATATGTCTGCTATCATTGGAGCCATCTGAATTCTGAAATCAGACAGGTTTGAATTCACTTGGCCTCTTGTGCTCCATGTGGGCCCTGGAGGATTGCTAGCTTGCCTGTTTCACTTCCTGCACACATGAGCTCGCTGCACCACATTTCCTGGCTGAGGCACTGGGCTGATCTGAGGAGTGACCCCAGAGAGGTAGAGGGCACAGCAACTGTATCTCTAATCTGTCAACTCTGCTCATCTTTCCAGAGCCCAGTGTTGCAGTATCTGTACTTCCTTGCCCAAATTCCCATTGCTATGTCCCCACTCAGCAACAACAGCCTCTTCCTGGAGTATGCAAAGAATCCACTTCCTGACTTCCACCAGAAGGGCCTCATGGTGTCCCTTTCTACAGATGACCCCATGCAGTTTCATTACACCAAGGTACAGTGTGAGCGGGTCACCTCCTACTGCCTGAGCGGTGGGGCAGGGACTGTGTGGGCCCCATTCTTCACAGAACCCAGCAGCGTTTGCAGAGGGTCTGGCAAGCTGGGCCACCTCTGGGACAGCCCTCCGAACAGCCTGGGCTGTGCTGGCAAAAGCTGCTGGCCTCTAACACAGCCTGTGGCTGCAGGAGCCCTTGATGGAGGAGTACGCCATTGCTGCCCAGGTCTTCAAGCTCAGCACCTGCGACATGTGTGAAATTGCCAGAAACAGCGTCCTGCAGTGCGGCCTGTCCCATGAGGTGGGTGCCCTTCTGGGGAGGGTGGGCTTGGCCCTGCCTGAGCAGAGGCAGGCCCTCAGGCCCGGCCGTGAGGGAGCCCGGCCCCGGCGCGCCCTTCCTTCTGGTGCTGCCAGCAGGGACCCCCGAGGCCTGCAGCGCTGTCCTTGCCTCCGGCAGGAGAAGGCCCAATTCCTGGGTGAGAAGTACCAGGAAGAGGGGCCCCAGGGCAACGACATCCGGAAGACAAACGTGGCTCAGATCCGCATGGCGTACCGCTACGAGACCTGGTGCTACGAACTCAACCTCATCGCCGAGGGCCTGAAAACCGACTGAGGGAGGGGCGGGCGGGGCCGGCGGGGGCGCGCGCTCCGCGGCCGCGCAGTAAAACCCGCTCTGTGAGGATCAGCGTGCGCCCTGCGGCTGGGGCGGGGCCGGCGCCTGAGTGACGGCCGCGCGGGCCAATGGGGGCGGTATCTCGCTGCGCGCCGGGAGCGTCCTGAGGGAGCGGGGCCGCGGGTGAGCCGGGGCCGGGCGGCGGGGCCGGGGCGCGGGCCCGCCGGGGGCGGCGCGAGGTTGCGCGGTGCGGTCGCTGCCCGCCCGGGAGCGGGGAGGGCTGTGCCGGTGCGCGGCGGGACGGTTCCCGCCGGGCCCCCCGGCCGCGGAGCTCCCGCGGGCCCGGGATATGGCCGGCAGCTCCCTGTCCCGGGGGGCCCCCGCGGCCTGGTCCCCGGGCGGGCTGAGGAGCAGCGGCTGGGTCAGTTCCCCAGTGGGCTGCGCAGGGAGCGAACGAGCGGGGGCTGAGCCCACGGAGGGAGCGGGTGCCTGCTCGAGCCCCCCAGCTGCCCTCGATGAGTCACCCGCCTCGTGTGCTACTGCCGTGCCTTGGCTTGCTCAGCTGAAGGGAGGGTGGAGGGCGACGCGACACGAGAACGGATCTTCTTGATTTACATAAGCGCCTGAAAGGAGGGTGCAAAAAGGACCCAGCCAGGCTCCTTCCCGCCGTGCCCAGTGACGGGACCAGAGGCTGTGGGCACAAACTGACACGTGGGAGGTTCCCTCTGAAATCAGAATGCCCTTTCTCACTCTCAGGGTGACCAGGCACTGGCCCAGGTTGCTCAGAGAAGGGTCTCCCTCCTTGGACACACTCAAAAGTCAACCTGCTGTAGGTGGCCCTGCTTGAACAGAGGCTTGGACAAGCTGGTTTCCAGAGGTCGTGTCCCACCTCAACCACTATGATTCTGTACGGAGTTTCTTTAGGGCAAATTATTTACTAGTAAGCTGTGGTGTTTTAGGTGGTGCTAGATATTTGTGCTTTATTGCACTGAGGTACACAGGCCTGAGTAGCTACAGAAGTCCTTTCTGGCAGTGCACTCTAGGGCACAGCGTCTAGGCTGGCATGCTGGACCGGTCTCCCTCTGCCTTTCCCAGGTCACTGTGTAGACCCCACTGTTTCAGTTACCATGGTTGAATGCAGCCTGTCTGAGTGGGCATCTGGCTACCATGACTCTGATAGAGTCCTAGTAGTGGTGGGAGCTCTTGGTCTTGACAGCTGGAACTTGCATCAGCCCTAATGATGGAAGAAAAGTAGAAGAGGAGTTGCAGGAAAAACATCCCCTGGAAGTGTGTATTTGGGCAATAGTGGTTGTGGTTTCTGCTGTCCCTGTCTGTCAGATTTGCAGAAGAGAGGGATGAGGAACGGGCAGTGACCTTGCTGCATGGGAAGGGCCAGTGGAGCAGAGAAATGAGAAGCTGCTGGAGAAGCCCATGTGCTGCCCCTCCAGGGCTCTGTCAGCTGGAGGGGAGGTGCAGGAGTTTAGTCCAGCCGTCTGCTCAGTTGCAGGTGGGTGGGTGAGAGAAAAGCCCTACACAGAGTATTTTCTAGAACAATGGAAATGTCCAGACCGAGGTCAGGGGCCCAGTGGTTCCTCAGGAGTGTGATGTTTTTCAGTCACTACTCAGACCGGTTGTCCCTTCAGGGCAGGTAGGTTTGGGCAAACTGCTTACTATCTGAGCATTTCGAAGTTAAATTCGGGCAGGGATAGGATGAGGTGAGTGAGGAATGGACTCTGAAAGATTTTCAGTGCCCTGTCCCAGAAAGCATGTCTCTTGGGCTGTGTACTCCAGTTTGCCTTGAAGGGAGGGCATATACAGAGAATGTCTGAGGGTGTTGGGCATGGGGGGAATAAATGATGGCGGTGGCTGCCTTGTAAAACATTCCTGCTTGAAGCAGCTGGCTGGAGGATCTGTCTTGGAGTGGTGAGTCCTAGTATTGTGCATTGTTGCTTGGCAAAATTCTTATCTCAGTCTTCCAGTATGGATGTGGCTCATTCCCTGTAGCTCTGGGGACATGTTATCTGGATGTGTGTCAGAGGTTTGCTGGTGCTACCTCGGTCTGCGCCCTCTGAACCTCTTGGCGCAGCTGCCTCCGTGCTGCTAAGACTTTTCCAAAGGAATGAGTAGCCAGTTGTTGTGGCCCCACACAGCCTATCTACAGTGGCCTTTGCAACATAAAGGTGGTCGTGGTATGGTGATGCCAGCCCTCGGAGAAGCCTGGAATTTCACCTCTGACAGTTGCACCAAGAAATGGCTCCAGGATAAATCATGTTTGGTGTTAACTTTTCCTCTGTCCCCACCTTGGGTCTTAGTTCTTGTGTAAAGCTGCAGCATTTCTGGGGCATGCAGCCAGTCTGTGGTGCAGCATCTGAGTCAACTGCTGTTTTCAGTATTGCTAACCTGAGCATTCAGATACTTTGAGTCAAGTTAAAAGCCGATTACTTTAAAAATAGTGCATTGTGGGTTCTGTCCGTGTGTCCTCTGGTATAAAATCCTTCAGGGCTTACATGTTTGAAGTGTTTTGTTTTGTGTTAGCATGGGTAAAAACTTACTTTCAAGAAGTTTAATTTCATCACTTCAGAGAATGACTGAAAGTTGATAGATCTTTCTTGTCAATACAAAAGTCTTAGGATCCATGGTAGAGGTCAGACTTAACCTCCTTTTGCCATGTAATTAAATTTAGCATCACATTTACTATGTCCGGGCAGGCTGTGCTCTACATAGCCATGTATCTGATGAGGTGGAACTCTGTTCATCAGCATGATATGCAGAAGCTTTGAACGAGTTAATAACTGGAGTTGCTTTGTATCGAGATGGAAATGACTAAGCATACCGCATTCCTGAAGTGTTACTTATTTTGATATAAAATCTGCTTGTTTGGTACTGCCCATGTCTTTTAGGCATCAGCATGGTAGAGTTTTGTTCAGAAAAGCTTCAAGTTTGTTCTGGAGCTGAACAGAATGAGAGTAGCTGAGAACTCTGGAAGGGGTCCTTGCTGCTGTGCTGGCTGTCCCCTCATCCCTCCAGGACTGAGCTGGCAGCTTCCTTAGACTTCAGAAGACCAGAAGCTGTCTTTTATTTGGCTACCAACACAAGAAGCTTGGTGACAAGGAGGTCTCTTGCATGGCTTAGAACTGCATGTCTCTCATAAAAGAAGTGAAAGATTGCTTCAGAACTGTGCAAGCTTGCCAAGTCAGTGATTTGCTTGTTCTCATGCTTTTTGTGCAGCAGGATAAGGTAAGGTGGTGTGTTAGTGCCTTTGTTTAGCTAATAAGCTGCTGGTGTGAGTGTGGGAAGGGGTGTTGTGGCGTACCAGCAGCACCTGCGGTAGGTGGGCTTGACTTCAGCATCAAAGAGTGTTTTATTCCTGAACAGCACTGACAGCATTCTGTCCTTGAGCATGTGGTTTCAGGAAACAGAATTGTCTTGAGACTTTGCTTGGAAAATGCTTAGCATACTCTCTGGCTTTCAGAATTGGAAAAAAGAGTCAGGGCTGCCTATCATGTGGTGTGAATATGCTTCATTCTTCTGCTTTGGATAAAGGTGTGGAAGCTGTCTTCAAACAGTGTGGATTGCAAAGGCTGTCTTTTGGGAGAAATGTGTGATACTTTGTGTAGAAATTATTTATTTTTTCTTTGCCCCAAACTACTGCTCTCAAATAATTCAGTATTCTTGACTACGCTGAACTGCTGTAAGTACTAACACAGTAGGGATGATAAATTTGGCTTCTGTGGAAATACTGGGAAGCATACTGGAGTCACTGAAAGAGTTTGGAAAGAGGTCAGGAGAGAAGCAGTCATGTTAAGTCTGGTTAGTTTGTGAAGGGATTGGGGTGTGTGATCTCTGAGATTAAAGTGCTGGCTGCCTGACTGGTGGTCTCTACCAGTTCTGTATCCCTAAGGTGTGTTTTGGCCTATCTCAGACTCTGTCTGAGGGTTACTTAGCTTGAATCAGACCACCCCAGTCTGTCTGGTATTTCTTCACCAAAGATCAGTCTCTAACCTTGCCCTGGCTCATGTGATGAGCTTAGATTAAATTTCTAGTTATTGATAGGAGCCACCTGCCTTGCAAGCCTGAACAGGTGAAGAGCTGCATTCTTTTCCTCTTCAGATGGTTATTTTGGAAGACATGGTTCAGGGCTGTGGCTGGCAGAGCAGCACTGAGCAGGAGAGAACATTGGGTGCTTTAAGCTTGTGCTCTACCATCTGTGTTTAAGATGAGCCGGGAGCCATGTGTTTCTAGTTGTATCTGGTAGTTCGGAGATCAGTGACATGCCTTGGAAAGAGCTTTGCTGTTGCACTCAAAACTGTATGGCTTCTTAGGTGAGTGAAGCTTATTGCTTCACTTCCTAAGTAATACTACTTCTCCAGCCAACATATGGAGCTTCATTGGCTGGAGAATAATATTACTTGGTAGGTTTATGCTGAAGAAGAGGAAATAACCTCTCTGTGGATCCTGTTTCTGAAGATGGGTCTATGTAGCTCAGGATGCTAGAGTCAGGTAATTGCTTGGGCACTGGGTGAACTGCTTGAACTCTGGACATTTATCAGTGAGGTGAGCCAGAGGCAGCGCTGCAGACGTAGTCTCACCAGTACCTGTATGCTGGCTGGGACTGTGCTTCTCCACTGTGTTTCTCAGTTGCTGGTTGCACCTCATCATGGAAGCACAGTTGTGGACAGTAGGAGCAGTCAGGAATGTTAAGCAGACTTTGGCCATGGCTCTATATCAGGAAGCAGAAATGTGGCAGGCTGGCTGAGGAAACTACATCAAATGCACTTTTTGTTGCACTCTTACCAACGTGGGTCATAGAAGGAAGGTTATGGGGCAGGCTGGCAGCCAGCAGACATGACTTGCTTGAGCACAGGCAGCGCTGCACACTGAGGATGGACCCAACTAGAAAGCTGAGCAGGGCTACTCAGTTTACTCTGTGCAGTGATTTGCCCTTATGGGTGTTGCATGCAGATGTTTTGCCAGGCCGCTGGTCTGAGCCCAGGGCGAGCTGACAGCTGGTGTATTCGGAGGAGAAGACTGTCAGCACTGTTGGGAAGCAGGGGAGCCTTGGTGCTGTGTGTGGGCTTGCTGTCAGCACAGAGGTGCATGTGCTCCATGAATGCATATGCTGGCCTTAAAGTGCTTTGTCCTGTGAATAACCCAATTGCTCCATGCTGCGACGTCCTTCAGGGGCCTGTCCAAGTGCGAGTTCTGCATCCAGTGGTCCCGTGTTTGAAGACCTGACAGGGAGTAAAGGTGGCTGGTCTGAAGCTGTACTGGCTGAGAGGAGGCTGTTTCACCCCTCTCCTAGCCTGGCTTTCCCCATCAGAGCCTTTGCTTCTTTGCTAGCTGGTGCTTCAAGTCCTCAGGAGCAGCCCTAAGCAATGTTGCTGTAGAGTAGTTGCAATAGGAAGGAGGAAAGTTGCTTTCCTGTCTGCTAATCAGGACTGTGCAGACAGGGATTGAGGAAGGATGGCTCTGCTCTGGCTCAGGATGTTTTGGAAACAATGCCTATTTATAGGAGAGGGCAGGGGCCTCTCGCTGCCTGGAGCAGCTGGGGAGCAGCCTGGCTGTGCGGGAAGAGGTCTTGCTGTGGGGCAAGGGAGTCGGGGGGAGTGGGGTAGGTGTGGTTTGCTGTTCTGCGTGTTCTCTGTCATTCTTGAGCATGTTCTGCTCTCTCCCTGCCCTTCCATGAGGGGATCAGCAGCCCTTTTCTGTTTGTTCGTCCCCTGCCTGCACCTTGCTACCGGCAGGAGTGGGGAGGGGATGCTGGGCTGTGCTGGAGCTGGCACTGGAGCTGCAGTGCCACCTGCACAGTAGTAGCTTCACCTCACTTCTTTGGAGACGTGCTGGGTGATGGTCAGGAGCAGTGTGGCTACGAAAGCATTGAGGACAAGGCAGAATACTCATGAGGGACTGGGAGCTGATGATGGAGCAAATATCCACAGTTCAGTTGCTTACCCAGATTGTCCAAGTTTAGCCCATTCACTTCTGAGTGGGAGTGTTACCAGCAGCTGTTTGGGACAATGTGATAAGCAGTGCCAGACTGCAAGAACTCATGCTGTTCTCTCTGAAGACAGGCCACAGTGAGCTTCTTGCCACAGCAAGCAGTGCTGCTTTGGTAGAGAGTGTGAAAGTGCAGCAGAGAGCCGAGGCTTGGTGCCATGTGTGCTTATGCCATCACTGAATTGCTTGGGGAGCCCTGGGATGTCCTATGTCAATGAGCTTTCTTGCTATATCAAGTAGGTCTGCCAAGGCCAGTGCTTTTCTTTTAATTGCACCACGAATGCTGCTGCCGAGCAGATCAGCAATGCCAGGGACAGAGCCGGTAGTGCTAGAGCCCTGGAATTTGAGGTGTGGTATCGATGATGGGAAGGATGCGGGAAGAGTGCACATGGTATCTTGTATCTTACTGTGCCTCTGCTGTGTTGAGAGCTCTGCTAGAGACATCATGCTGCAGTGGTTTTGCTCTGTGCTGCCTGAGCTGCTCTGAGCAGTACAGAGCATCAGGAGAAACTGAACACTCCTGCCTGGCCTGCGCTGGTGCAAGCAAGCATCAGAGGGGCTGTCAGAGAGCTCTGCTGCAGGCAGGCCATGCTGCTGGGTTCCTGTGCCATTAAATAATTTCCTTGTGTTTGCACCCTTGGGATCCCTGGCTGTGTTGTTCCTGCTGTGGTGTTTTGATTATTTTTTAAGCCAGTGAGACCTTTGCTTCCTTTTGTTAGCCTTCCCAGATGTGTGCTACAGAGATGGGCTTTGTGAAGAGTGTGCTCTGGAAGCCAGTCTTGAACATGTGATTTGGGGAGGAATGTTCTTCAGCAATTGCCAGAGAGCAGCTGAGAGTGCCTGGTGGTGTGTATGGCTGGAGTGCAGATGATGGTTCTTTTCTTCCTTTTGTCCACAGGTCGTGCTAGCAGGTAGTCCTTGCAAAGCTAACACCCAGGGACTCTTGGACATCGCTGGGTGCTTTGGAGTCTCATGCCAGCTTGATGTGTGCAGGACACAGGTGGACCTGAGCAAGGCTGGAGATGGGGCATTCGTAAGCACATTGGCACTTACCATGCACCCAGCAGAGCCAGTGGACAGTAGCTTCTCCCGCTCTGCTGTGCAGACTCTCTCCCGGAGCCACTGCCGCAACATCAAACATAAGATCTCTCAGTGGGAGGGGAGGACACGAGAGTGCTCCAGCAAGGAGAAACAGCAGCTGAAGGACTTTGGAGTCAAGTATGATCCCAGCTGTGATGCTCTACCCAAAGTGAAGTCAGAACATGCAGAGAAGGGCAGAAAAACTGGGTCCAAAGATCCAGAGAGCCTGAGTTTGGACTTCAGGGAAGATGCACAGAGCTGTGTGCAGACTGATGACTGTGGTGACCTCAAGCCCTGTGCATACAGCCTAGCTTCCCAACCCAGGGAGAAGGGAGAGTGGCAAGCAGGCTTCCTGGACCCAGGGGTGACTCTTCCCCCAGGGAACTTATATACCTCACAAGCTCTGTGGAGGAGAGCAGATCCCCTTCTGCGTGGCAAAGCCCCACCAGTTCCCTTGGACCTTCAAAGGAAGCGAGGGAGCTGTGGCTCCACAGAAAGAGAACTTAAAATCAAAGGAGAGGACTCTCTCTGCAGGGCAGAGAGGAGCTTGAAAAACATTTACTCTGAGGCTGAGGGGCAAGAGGAAGAGCCAGTTGCTGTCCCACCACCCAAGCCCCGTAGGACTTTCCACTATATTGCAGAAAAGGGTGCAAGCAGCTGTAGCAATGCCAGAGCTACCAGGGAAGCTCCCCTTCAAAAGCATCATGAAGGAGACTTGGTGTCATCCTCCAACAATCCTGAGAAGAGAATACTCAGCAGGAGGATCAGAGGGAGAACCCAGAGGTACATCAATTCATCTCTCATGTCTGCAACATGTTTCCTTAAATCAGTTTCTAGATGGGTTTAAACAGCTTGCTTGCCATGATATCCTTGTGGAGGTGCTAGTACTGATGATGCCTCTGTTGATGGGGAAAGGATACTTCTGGATGAATGTATCCCCTTTCCAGCATTGCATATGCACTGCTTTTGCTGCTGATAATCTTGCAAAGAACGCTAAAAGCTCCGAACAGATGTCAGTCCTACACCTTAAAACAGATTTGAGTGACAATATGCTGGCCCCAGGGAGAGAGCTGCCTGCTTCTTACCCTGAGCTTGTCCGCAGCTGTAATTTGTGGATTTCCCTTGAGAGAATAGCTTTCCCTTGGGGCAGTATGGCTGCTAAATGTTCTAGCTTTTCTGTGACTGAAATATTCTCTTGTTGCTTAAAGTTGGAGATTGTCAGCTGTGGATACCCCTGTTGCAGTACATTTGGCAATTCTTCCCTCTTTCCTGTACGTAGGTCCCTGTTAGAGAGTAAAAAATCCTCTGAGCTAGCTTGATGCTAGTTCTGCTTACAGATGAGCTGCCTAGGGCAGCTGTGCAGGAGAGCAGTGTGAACATTATAGGTGGAGATGTGGCTAGAACTCCTGAAACCTTCTTTTGCTATAGCGAAGCATGCAACAACAAAATAAATTTTATGGTGATGGGCTAAATCCCTGCCAGCTCCTTTGTGACCTCTGTGCCATGATTTTGAAATGGAGAGCCAAGTGTCTGAAAATGCAAACTCACAAATGTGATAACACCCTTAGCATAAGCAATAGGAGAGAGCCAGTAGAAAACGGTGCCCTAATTCTGAGCACTGCTGCAAGTGCTTAGTCTGCAAAACATGTTTTGGGTTCTTGTCTCTGTGACAGGATGGGACTCGCCATGACTGCTTGCAGTGTGCTTGGCCATGGAGCCTCCAACTTAATTTTTAATTTAAAAATCTCCCAGAGTAAGTGAGTAGGACTCACTTGGTATGCTGGCTTTGTCTGGGATAGAGTTAATTTTCTTCATAGTAACTTGTGCGGTGCTGTGTTCTGGATTTGTGAGGGAAATAGTACTGATAACACACCAGTGTTCCAGTGATTGCTGAGCAGTGCTTACACAGCCTCAAGGCCTTTTCTGCTTCTCACTCTACCTCACCCCACCAGTGAGCAGGCTGGGGGTGCACAAGAAGCTGGGAGGGGATGGACACAGGCAGGACAGCCTACCCCAACTGACCAAAGGGATATTCCATGCCAAATGATGTTGTGCTCAGCAATAAGAATTGAGGGAAGAAGGAGGAAGGGAGGGACATTTGGAGTTACGGCATTTGTCTTCCCAAGTCACCATTACATGTGATGGAGCCCTGCTTTCTTGCAGATGGCTGAACACCTGCCTGCCTAGGGAAAATAGTGAATGAATCTCTTAATTTGCTTTGCTTCTGTGTGCAGCTTTTGCTTTACCTATTAAACTGTCTCAACTCACATGTTTTCTCACTTTTACCCTTCTGATTCTCTCCCCCATCCCACTGGGTGGGAGCGAGCAAGTGAGCAGCTGGGGGGTGCTGAGCTGCTGGATGGGGTTAAACCTCAACACTTGGAAATCCAAGAGTCCAGAGCAGAACCTGCATGGGCTTGGTGGCCCTAGGGAGGACCATACTCTATGTGGACTGGAGACAGCAACTCACTAGTACATGCAGGTGCCTTTAGAAGAAGTTACACTGGTTTTCCTCTAGGAAATCTTTTGAGTTTGAGGACATCCAGGGCTTCCGCAACCGGATGGCAACCACCAACTGCCAGAGACTTCGCAAAGAGACAAATGGCACTGCAGGATCCAGGCTCGTCTACACACAGTCAGAAGACAACATCTATGAGGACATTATCTGTATGTGCCTGTGCTTCTGGGGGATGCACTCACTTTCTTTAAGGGTAGAAGATTTGCTGGGGAGGGAGGAATGAAGATGAGAATGCATTGAGGCCCCTTCCAGCTCTGTGACTTTTAAGGTCTTCCCTATCTGGGGTTCTTTGTTCATGGTAGTAATGACCTTCATGTGAACAGCCTGATTGATGGAAGGTTGCTAGAATTGGCCTATGCTAAACCGATTTCTTTATTAGCTCTTCAGATGCTTTGCTTGAGTGCTGCACAAAGATCAGTGTGAACACTGGCAAAATTAGCTGCTTTGTACTAGAGTTACTTGCCTTGCAGTGATAGAAGTGTTTTGTTTTGCTGAGTCTGTGTACAGTGTGCCAAGTTGATGGTGGTGGGTTAGATGGAGCTCTGAGTGGTGGGAACCTAATCCATCTTAAAACAGGTCTCTCAGACCCTCTTAAAGCTTGGCAGACAACTGCATGCTCTCCCTGCTTACATCCCTTGCAAGAATCCAGGACTTTATCTCCTTTCATAGATTACCTGTCCAACGCTTTTTCTAGGTCCTGCAAAAGAGAACCCCTATGAAGATACTGGAGCGCTGCCCTTACCCCTATGGAAGGTCCCATCTGTCTGGAAGATACCACCCCCCCGGAGCACCAGTAAGGCTCCCAAGGTAGGGTGAGGCGATTAAATTGTCACCTGTTTACAGATAGTCATCCTCACAAGGGCCCTATTTTGTGATCCTCCCTGGCCCCACATTCCCCACTGCTACTTCATTGTTTTTTCTATTTTTTTTTAATTTGTTATTAATGTATATGACAATGAACAGCCATGGCAGTGTCAGTTGATTAAGCTGCTAGGGAGCAAAAGAATAGGAACAAGAGAGTGTTGATGAGATACTTGAGTATGTGGGGTCAGGGTGGGAAGGAGGTCTTGGTAGAGCAGGAGGCTGCAGGAAGTTTATAATTTGTAATCTGACTCCTTTGACTCTGAGCTTGGACCAAAGCTTAATAGCATGATTAACCATCTCTTCTGATTCTGTTTTCCAGCCTCTCCCGAAACCTCCCTTCCTCAGTTGCAAGGCTCTTGAGCTAAAGCCCTCCCAGACAAGTTTCCAAGGGAAAATGGTGAAGGACACGACTCTGCCTGTCACACTGACTGACTGGAAGCTGTTTCGAGCAGTAGAGGCTGCTAGCAGGAGAAAGAACTTGCCCTGGGTGAGATTTAAGCATGAAACATTACTTCTTGCACGGCATTTCAAACTCTTGCTGCTTTGTCTAGCATCTTCTAAGTGCTTTGTAAGTGGTCATGGAGCTGCGTGTCTGGCAGGTAGATGCTGGTTATCACTGCTGTACGTGTGGACAGGGGACCCTGCTTGAACCATTTCCCCTCCAAGTAGCAGAGCAGGTGTTCAGGGATCAAAAAACAGTGCCAGTTCTAGCTGGGGCTGTGGTGGTTTTGTTGGCCAAGAGTCTGCAAATGGAGTACTAGGCGTTGACCTGGAGATCAGTGCTGTGTGTGAATACTAGCTCTTCCTTGTGCTTTGTCATTTAAGCCTTTGTTCCCAATGCTTCCATGAAGTGTAGTGATGCTGGGTTTGTGCTGAATGCAGTGCAGGAGTGTAAGGAAGCTCTCTGTGAACTAAAGGGCCAGCTCTGTACAATTGTGCATATGCGTCCCTTGCTCCTGATGACTTCTCAGACTGACCCTTATGTTCTTGCTGCAGGAACTGAGTTGTTAGATGGCTGACAGTGTGGGGCTGCTGTAGGGAGCTGTCTGGGCCCTTGGTTACTTGGTATGTTGGCTTGGAGTTCTTGACTTGCCATCAGGAACATACTGTCTCAGCTGTTTCATAGTCTAAAGGTGAAGAGCAGCTTTTAGGATAAGCGTGTTTCACAAAGCCTTCATAGAGTTCTCCCCTCTGCTGCCTCTGGCTGCTTCCTCCTGCCTGTGTGCAAAGGTGGATATGCTTCTGAGGCCAGAGTAGTGAGAAAGGCTTTTAATCCACCTTCACAAGAGTTGTAATTCTCATTTGATATGTTGGGAATCTTTCTAGATACTAGTATTGGTTACAAGGTCATGTCCCTCAGTGATAAAATGCAGCATGTGCTCTAGAAGGACAGTTACAGCTACCAGTGTAGTGACACTTTGTGTATAGGACTCAAATTCCAGTTGTGCTAGTGGCAACAACTTACTTTTGCCATGGTAAAATCATTTAACTTCTGCAGATCTTTATTTCTTGTGAAGATTGGGTGTATTTGCTCAAATTGCACAAGACTGTGAGGTAGAGTCAGACAGCTGCAAAATACTTTTCAAATATTAAGTACTTTAGAGTAACAAGCAACTTCTGTTTGTGTTTTTAAACAAACTGTAGGCCTGGAAAATCAGGAAGGAGATGACAAGAGTATAAAAAAGCTGTGATGGACAGTATCTTTCATTTAGAGAGGGAAAATAAAACATTCTTCAAAAGCAAACCTATTCAAAAAATCTGGTAACAATTTACATGCAGGAAGCACACTTTTTGCTTACAAGGAATTGAGCCAAGATTGCTTGAGAAATTGAGAAAAATATGGGAGTGCAAAAAGAAAAAAAACACTGCTTAAGAACGCATAGGTGCCTTAAACACACCCAGTATCTTTCACTGGTGACTCAGCTGCACAAAAATCAAAACAGAAATGGAAGTCCTCTAGGTAAGCCTGGATGGTAGAGGCAAAAGAAGACAGATTTTGCAGAAGCACTGCTTTCTGCTGTAGACTGTTTTCTTCCTTGCAGCCTCACCATGCTAGGAGGACAGGCTAACAGCAGAAAATGGGGAGAAATAGGTCTGAAAATGAAAAGAACCTAAGCCTGGTTTGCTGAGTTGGGGATAAAGGCTTGAGCTGAAAAACAGGTTGTCCTGCTGAATATCTTACTTTTGATGCAGTATTTGTGGTGACAAATGACTGGGCCCCACCCTCCTACATTCAGTGGGAACAGTTAATGAATTCTTGAGACAAGAATGAACTTGACCTGCTCTCTGCATTTAGTGTAAGTCCTTCTTCACAATGAAGTGATAGCTGTCTTTGACACGCAGAATCCAGGAACCACCTGCAGCATTGTATACCTGGCAGCTGAGAGGGGGTCCAGAGAGGCCTGTGACCAGAGGAACAGAAAGCGTTAGGACTTTGGTTTTAAGGCCACTGTGACCTGTGGAAGGAAGGTTAACAGCATCAACTTGGAGTGTCAAAATGCTGACCCTTCTTTCATGTCTGCAGCTTAGTCTGTACTGGGCTATGTTTTTTACCAAATTTTTTCTTCCAGTGGACCAGGTCTGTGGTATCCCTGCAGTGCAGACCCATTATTCTGTCCCACTGTTTTATTTCATCTATGCAAAATTAAAGTACGTAATCCTTTCATTTTAGCAGACTAGCCTGGGACAAGGACTGTGCTTAGAGCAGCCTTGCTCTGTGCCTGACATGGTACTTTGGCAAACTTACTCTAGCTGTCTGACATCCAAGTACAGCAGCAAACTTAAAAGCCAAACCAAGCAATCAAAAAACAAACCCAAGCTACATTGAGAGAGCTCTGCTTTTTCTGGTTTTGGAAAAAATTGGGATGCTTGGGAGCATGTGGAGTTCAGAGTCCTTTGTGGTGGAGGGTTTACAAGATATTCTTTCAAGTGCTTTTGCAGTTGGCCTCTTTAATAGAAAGTGGAGATCTGATGCCAGACAGTTTGCTGCTTTTGCTATCTGTTTGGTAAGCAAAGTATGATATGCTTGTACAGAATGCTTGCACAGTTTGGTGTCAGCTTTGAGTTGTGCTAACAATAATCTCTCTCGTAGCAGAAATTCTGTGCTCATTCATTAACCAGTGAGCTATGCTAGAAGTATTCTTGCAAGCAGTCTCTGAGCCAGGGTCCCTGGCAGGACTTGAGCAGCCTTTCACAAGTGTTGTGGTGCTAGATGATAGCTGCTGGGCTGCAGTCATATTGGCACCTGGACCTTTTTCTGGACCGCCACATTAACCTCTGCTTCTGCTTTGGATTTCAGCTGGTACTAAAAATACAGGAGATCTTTGATTCTAAACGTGGAAAGAGGAGAGTGAAGCTGCTCAGTCCCACTGGGAGAGAAGTGCCTCCAATGAAAGGTATAGAGGTCTCCAGCACCATTCTCTTTGCTCTAAGCCTCCTGAGTGGCACAGTTCCTGTACATCCCGAGGCACTGCTAGCAGGCCAGGCACGACCACTTACTACAGCTCATGCTGGCCTGATTTGACAGCACTGAACCCCATGTCTTGCAGCTGGAATTGTTGAGCTTTCAGCACCAGTAGGATTGTGAACATTCGTCTAACCCAAGTGTAACACTGTCACAAATGGAAGTTTCTGCTATGATCTGAGCCTGAAGAGCTGGGCTACTGGTTAAAAGTGCTTTTTTCAAAAGAGCAGAGCAAACCCAAGAATTCTCCACAAAACCATGTGGCATAAGAACTAACTCTGACTACTCCACTCATCGCTTTTGTGCCTCTAAAGTAATATTCTTGTGTTCCTCTGATTTTGTAGCCATGGTATGGTCTTTGTTTATAGTATATTCTGTTCAGCAACTCTGTTAACTTTTATACCAGTATCAAATAACCACCTGGTTTCTGTTCTTTGGTTGTGCTGAGCTGACCTGCAGGTGGTTTACTGGAAACAGTGACTTGATATCAACTCCACTTTTTGAAATTTACTGTTGTAGCACATTTGCCAGTGCCAGCTGTTCTTTGCTGATGCTTTGCTGGTGGGTGGGCAGCCCTGAGTGATGATGGTCTGATGAGTCTAAAGTTCTCTCTCTTTCCCAGCTTTGGGTGTTGCCCATCTTCCTTCTGCCTGGCTAATAAGTAAAAACTATGTGTGTTTCAGGTGAAACCAGTGGGAATGAAAGTGATACGGAAAATCAGCCAAAAAGTGAGTGAATCACAGGGGCTGGTCCTGTCCCCATAGCATTACATATTTGGCGAAGGCTCTAATGGGATAAGCACACTGCCTAGTTGTGGCTTCTGCCGAGACAGAGAAAGGGAACATCTAAGAGGCAGCATGGCCAAGTCTGGGAGCTGTTGCTGTGACAAATGAACCTCTATTTCTGCCGCTTCTCCTGAGCCCTTGAGGTTTAATGCCATTAATCTGCCAGTCACTAGAAGTAGATTTATTTTTGGGTTGGTAGAGTCACATTTAACTAAAATACAACTTGCAGGAGATTGTCCCTGGATCACCTTTACTGTTAACACTTGAGATTTGTTTTCCCCTTACTTCTTTCCCTTGGTTCTGTTTTATATGTATAATGTGAAATGCAGTTTCCTCTGGGGAGAAATCACTCAGCTATTTGTCTGGTTCCACAGTCCTGAGCTTGATCATCAGCCCAAACTACAGACTTTAAATACCTACTTGATTTTAGCTGGTGTGGGAAGGACCAGAGAGGTCTTAGTTTCTACTCTGGTAAGGTTTGAATGCAAAATGGTAATGGTTGGCCAGCAGCCCTGATGAGTGACTCTGTCATGTCTCTAAGCAAGCATTTGGCAAAAAGGACCAACTGAATTGTTTCAGATGTTTAATTTACATGGAGGGAAGCATACAGAAGGCCTTAACTTGGAGCTAATAGCAAAGGTCCACTTTTTAATGTTAAGGAGAGTAATGGAGAGTGAAGAGTCTCTGCAGAAACACAGTGATTGAGTCACTGCCTGATTTAAGAGTTGTTTCCAAAGTGTCTAGAATGTATCATGGTGCCTGGGCAACAGAAATTTCTTATATCAGAGTGCTGTGCCTGTGTTTGTGAGTCTGTACTGCCTGTCAAGATGTCCCAGCCTGGAGGTTTATATGTCAGGAAACTGGCTCTGCCTCTCTTGAATGCCCTGCCTGAGGCCTGGCAATTACTGAACTGGTAGAGCTGGGCTTCTTCTCACAGCTGGGCTTCCCTCATCATTACTACAGTGTGTCGCTCTGAGATGTGTAGAAAGAATGTCAGGACAGCAGGAGAATGCTAGCTATCGGTCAAGAGGGATTTGCAGAGCTGCTGCAAGGCCAGTGCTGTTCTGTCTGGAACTGCTCTGTGCTTGAGGAGCTGACGCAGGAGTCCAAGTCCTGTAGAATGCAACACTGGTGTTAGGCAAATTCACCCACCTCTTTTCCCCCTTCTAAAGGTGGTGACGAGTCCTCTTCTGTGACCTGTAAGTATATGGCAGTGGTAGCCACAGGCTGGTTTTCACAGAATCACAGAATGGTTTGGGTTGTAAGGGACCTCAAAGATCATCTAGTTTCAGCCCCGCTGCCATGGGCAGGGACACCTTGAAGTCCCCCATGAGGACCAGGGCTTGTGAACTTGAGGCTGCTCCTATCTGTCTATAGAGGGTCTCATCTGCCTGGTCTTCCTGGTTGGGTGGCCTGTAGCAGACCCCCGCTATAACACCTCCCGTCCCTGTCATCCCTTTCATCCTGACCCATAACCTCTCGGTCAGCTCCTCACCCATACCCAGCCGGAGCTCCAAGCACTCCAGCTGGTCACTGACATACAGGGTGACACCCCCGCCTCCTTGTCTCCCTGCCTGTCCTTCCTAAAGAGCGTGTCCCCTTCCATTCCAACCCTCCAGTCATAGCAGCCATCGCACCATATCTCCGTGATGCCAATGAGATCGTAGCTCTACAGGCGTGCACACGTCTTTTAATTCCTCTGGTTTATTCCCCATTCTATGGGCATTTGCAAAGGGGCATTTAAGTTGGGTCCCCAGTGAAGCTGACTTACTGGCTGGAATTCCTTTGTGCTGCTCCTCAGGGGCTCTCCTGCTGACCTGTGACTCCTTTCCAGGCTCTGGGCATCTATTGCTGGCACTGGCATCAAGCTGGTAGGATTGGGATGGATTGAGGTTCCCCTCTGCTGGCAACTTTAGTTTAAAGCCCTGTTTTGGATTTGTTCCTCTCTTCAGGTCGACACAGGTGCCTGCTGCGGGTGCAGTCAGCCTCCAAGAGGAACCCCCACTACCAGACTTTGGAGAGGGATTTGATAGAACTTCAGGAGCAGCGGCTATTTGAGCTGTTTGTGGTGGTGTCGCTGCACAAGAAGTCATCTGAGATGACATACACACCGCAGATCGTACAGCAGTTTCCCAGCAAGGTAGGAGCTGCATGGAAACCTGCCCACAAAACACACTCAGTAGCCTCTTATTTCCTCTCGCAGTGTGCATCCCTTCCTAGACTCTGCACTAGTAAAGCTGGCCAACTGGTTAGGATACAGGCTTGGAATATGAAGTACCTTGCTCTGTTACAGACCTAACGTATAGCGTTGGGCAGTTGTTGAATATCTTTCTTGATAATGACTTTACTGAATGTTTTTGGAACTAGGAAGGCTCCTACTCTAATTCTAATTGCCTAGAAATATCATAAAGCCATACTGTATTGTAATACACTGCTGAGGCAGCCTGCAGGAGTGGAAAGGGAGTGCAGTGCTGTCCCCAAAGCAGCCATGATCTCATCCTGGTTTTCTGTGATTTATAAACAAGGAGTGAAGCAATTTGACTGATGGTGCAAAGGAACTAGAATCCCAGGGCTTTTATGCTTATTTATACTGTTCTGGGGAAAAAAAGAAATTAAAGTGTACTAGCCCACAAAAAGCAGAGGAGAACTGTGGAAGTTAAAGCACTGTAGCTAGAACAAGACATTTGATATAAGCTTTCTTTCTCCCTGTTCAGCCCAAATGGATGACAAGGTCAGTGTGTGACTCTGAATTATGACTTGATGTATACAGTAGTTACTGTGAAGCTAAGAGGAAGGAGTCTTGACGCTTGCTTCTGTGGTTCCAGATTAAATACTCTTGTCACTCTCTAGGCTTGTACCTGCTGCCTTCCACTAAAAAACAGAACAAAACTAGTAATAGTAGCTGTGCTATCAAGAGTAAGCCAGAGATTGGCTTACTGGGAATCTGTTGTAGTCTCAGAGTATGTTCTCCTGTACTTGTCCATTAGCTATATGATGGTTCAGCATTTGGAAGGGCCAGGAAGATACTGTCTCTCATTGTTTTAAATGCTGCAGCTGTGCATCACATTTCAGTGACTTCAAATGCATCTGTTACCCCTCCAGCCTCAACATCACTTCAGACACTCAAAGGATACTGAAGAGAGGCTAAAGGTCATTCCCAAATTCTGCTTTCCAGATCCCAAAGACTGGTTTCCTACATCAGACCTTAAAAGGTAAAGACCCATTTTTGAGTACTCATGCCTGAAACAGGCCATGCTGAAAGCTTTGGTACGTGCCAGTTTCCTGGAACAGAGAAACTGCAGACGGAGCAGGGAAAAATGGGAAAAGCTGAATCCCTAACTTCTGTGATAGGGGAAGGATGAGATGTGGATGTGGACTTAGAAGCGCTGCTTCTGCCTGATCACTGTCTTTCCTTATAAGAAGGAAAAGGCTGTAAAGTCTGTTCCAGGCCAGCTCCTGGGGCTGGCAAGTGCTTGTGTTGCTCCTTGGCAGAATGGAGAAGTAGCTGGGAAGGAAGAAAGCTGTAGTAGCTCAGAGTCCAAGGGCTGCTGGTTTTTACACTGAACAGAGCCTGAAGTTGATTGCTAACCGCAGCGGTGTGTCTTCAGCATGATGAGAAAGAGAATGACTTACAGTATGTGTGCTTTGTTTGTCAGTCTCTTCTCTGAACTGCATGGTGAATTTAACCCTGGCTGTTGTTTGTTTCCACAGTGAAACATTTTCTTTTGTGTTGACGGGTGAGGATGGCAGCCGCTGGTTTGGATACTGCAAGAAGCTCCTGGTAAGCATCTGTGTATTGGGTGGAGTGTAAAGAACACATTGATAAATGCACAGCCAAGCGCAGGACGTGAATCAGCAGTAATTTCCTGTGTGGGTTACGTAGAGCCTCTGCTGCTGCTGAGGTTACCAGCCCTTTGAAAGCATAAGAGAAGGAGCATGATGATCATAGAATCACCGAATGCTTTGGGTTGGAAGGGACCTTAAAGCCCATCCATTCCCACCCCCTGCCCCGGGCAGGGCCCCCTTCCCCCAGCCCAGGGTGCTTCCAGCCCCGTCCAACCTGGCCTTGAACCCTTCCAGGGAGGGGGCAGCCACAGCTGCTCTGGGCACCCTGGGCCAGCGCCTCACCACCTGCACAAGGAAGAATTTCTGCCTTAGATCTCATCTAAATCTCTCTTCTTTCAGTTTAAAACCATCCCCCTCATCCTACCCCCACCCCCTGATCCAGAGTCCCCCCCCCACCTTCCCTGCCCCCCCTTTAAGCCCTGGGAGGCCGCTCGAAGGGCTCCCCGGAGCCTTCTCTTCTCCAGGCTGAACCCCCCCAACTCTCTCAGCCCGGCCCCCCAGGGGAGCTGCTCCAGCCCCCCCAGCATCTCCGTGGCCTCCTCTGGCCCCGCTCGAGCAGCTCCGGGTCCTTCTGCTGTTGGGGGCCCCCGAGCTGGCCCCAGCACTGCAGGGAGGGGGGGAGAATCCCCTCCCTGGCCCTGCTTGGGATTGCCCCGACCCACGGGCAGGATCTTGCCCTTGGCCTTGTTGCACTCCAAGAGGTTTTCCCAGGCCCCCCTCTCCAGCCTGCCCAGGTCCCTTGGGATGCCACCCCTACCCTCCAGTGTGTCCCCACTCCACACAGCTCGGGGCCATGGGGGAACTTGCCGAGGGTGCATCGATCCCACTGTCCATGTCCCAACAAAGATGTTAAACAGCACCAGGCCCAGCCCTGACCCCTGAGGAACGGCACTCGTCACTGCTCTCCACTTGGACATCGAGCCATTGACTGCAAATCTTGGAGTGTGACCATCCAGCCAATTCCTTACCCACCGAGCGGGCCATCCATCAAATCCATGTCCCTCCAGTTTAGAGACAAGGATGTTGTACAGGACAGTGTCAAATGCTTTGCTCAGGTCCAGGTAGATGATGTCAGTTGCCCTTCCCTTATCCACCAGCACTGTAACCCTGCTATAGAAGGCCACCAAATTCATCAGGCACTAACTGATGCCCAGCAATACAGTGAAATGGGCTCTGGGTTTGGAAGACAGCTCCTGGAACTGGTCATTCCTCAGGAATCTTTTAAGTCAGAAGTGTAGAGGAGCTACAGTAATTCTGCAAATCAGCTACCATGTAGGTACTAGGTTCTTTATTACATCCTTATTCTCAGCATAACTGTTCTTGTTGCCTTTCAGCCAGAAGGGAAAGGGAAGCGCCTTCCTGAGGTATACTGCATCGTTAGCCGCCTGGGCTGCTTCAACCTCTTCTCCAAGGTGAAGTGGGGAGAGCCTGTTACTGCTTAGTGGACTTGAGTCTCTGACAACCTGCAAGCTCCAGAAAGTAACTGGATGCTTCTGTTCAGTCTAGAATTGCTTAGTGATTGTAATTCATCCCAGGAGAGTGGAGCTTCCTTGCCTCCTTTGCTTTGACGGGGCAAATAAAATGATACTAGTGCTGAGACTTGTCAGCCAATACACAGACCACTATTCCTTCAGCAAATTATTGTTAGGAAGTGGCTTCTAATATCTGATGGTGCCCCTTCATCCTCTTCTTCCATGACTTGGAAGTGGAAAACTAGCAGGGTGGGGGAGGCACAGGGGCAAGAAGGAATATCATCTAATTTCTCCTAGCACCATGAGGGGAGTAGATAAAGAGGTAAAGACTGGGGAAAGCTACTGCAGGTGAAGGACAGCTATTGCAGAAGAATAGAGTGGCAAGCTTATGATGAAAGCTGATTTCTAATCATCGGAGCACAGAATTTGTAGGACAGTGTTTCAGAAAGATTTCTAGGGCAGGAGGATGCGGTGTTGCTCTTCTCACTCTAACTAGTTGTGAGAATTTGATTACCACAGACATTTCTTTGCAACAGCAGGAGACTGGATTTGAGAGTGGAGAGTTGTACTTACAAGTTATCTATTCCTATTTGATTGTTCAGACATTTGAGATGAGCTTTCACAGGGATCCCAAGTAATGTAGGGGAGAGGGCTGTGCATCTGTGTTGGAGCCTTCACGTGTAGCTATTGCACAGGATACTCCAACAGAGGCTTACATCTCCTCTGGCTCACCAGCAGGCATTGAACCAATGTCCGATGTATTTTCTTGCAGATTTTAGATGAAGTGGAGAAGAGGCGAGAGATGTCTCCAGCCCTCGTACACCCATTTATGCATAGTGTAATGGAGGCACCTTTCCCTGCTCCTGGACGCACGATTACTGTGAGGAGCTTCCTGCCAGGAGCAGGAAATGAGGTAATGGAAATCAGGACTGGCTTTCCTGTGTCGATGGTGTCTCTGGGGCATAGTGGCACTTCGCAAGCTACAGTGTAGAGTGATGCCACCTGTAAATAATTATTCTGAAGATAATTTCCTAAAGTCTGAAGGGAGGCTGTCGCAGAAACTGGTTCCTGTTGAATCCCCTACCGTCACAGTGATTCCCTGCTTTTTAAGGAAGAGCTGCTTGGGAGTCCTCTGCGATGCCCTGCGCCCACTGCCCAGGCCACGGGGTTCCACTTGTGGGGAGCCACTGGTTCTGCGCTCCAGCCAGGTTGCACCTCGCCCAGCCTGACTCCACGCTGGGCCTTTCTCCTCCAGAGCTCTGCATCTCTGCTTGCCTCTCAGGTGATGGAACTCTGCCGTCCACTGGATTCTCGACTCGAACATGTTGACTTCGAATGCCTGTTTAAATGCCTAAGTATCTCTCACATGATTCGGGTCTTTGCCTCTCTCCTGCTGGAAAGGAGGGTGATCTTTGTTGCTGACAGCTTAAGGTAAAAAATTATTCCAAGTGACTGGTTCTTTCTGAGGGATACTATTTTTTATTCTGCATTTTGGCCTGTTTCATGTGCAAGCTTGTCTAACTCTTTGTATACAGTTACATTTAAAAGCTTTTTGCAGACTTTCCACACAACATGTGCATGCTTAAGATTTGGAGTATGATATTTACCCAAGAGGAGATAAGGGAATGTTTCCTTTACCTCTTTAGTCTGGCTTGATGCTATTCCTAGCTCCCCATTACTGACTTTAAAAGTGGATGCATGGGGCTTCTGCTGATGCATAAAAAATGTATGTGAATTACGTTTTCCCTGAGCATTCCTAGCCTCTGTAGCTGAGTACTGAACGAGACATTGACAATCCACTCGTGCTTCTCTTACCTTTCTAGCACTCTGTCTAAATGTGGCCACGCTGCAGTTGCAACGCTTTATCCCTTCACTTGGCAACACACCTACATACCAGTCCTACCAACTTCTATGATTGATATTGTGTGCTCTCCGACCCCATTCTTAATTGGCATTCTCTCCTGCTCGTTACCACAGCTTCAGGACCTGCCCATAGAAGAGGTGAGAATTGGGTGAAGCACAGTGGAGGGACAATGTCAGTGGTATGAGGCTAACCTCTCTGGAATAATCTCTGTGGATTCTGTCTTAATATAAACTCCTAAACTTATCTGAGATGGTGAACTTGCCAGATACATGTCAGGGTGTTTCATTGTTATCAAAGATAAATAATATTCACTGTTCTTATAGACAAGCTGCAGTTATGCAAAACTTGTGTTTTGTGTGTGACATTCCCTGCCAATGGGGACATTAAAAAAAAAAAAACAAAACAAACCCAAATAAGTGGTTTCTTTCTGTACAGCAGTATACCTGGTTATGAGTCAGTGTGTTTTGTACATCTTTCCCCAGGTTCTGATTGTTGATCTTTGTGCTGGCAAGTTCTTGCAAGAGGTGAGTGAAATAGTACTGGTCACTTACAGTTATGTGCCAGGAAAAGGCATCAATGAAAGCAAATGAAAACAAGAAATCAGCGAAAGCTAGTATTCCTATGTAGACTCCAGTGGCTGAAGAAATACCTTGCATTCCTTTTTGACTGATATTGAAGAGAACAGTTTACAAATCCTTGGTGCAAGGTTGAGGTTGCATGGGTACAGAGCTCTGTGAAGCTAAAGATGCTGCTTATCTGAGCTGAATTTAAAAACAAATACTTAGTTGGTTCATTAGGGACTGCTAAGATTCTTTGCTGCTTTCTGTCTGTCTTTCTGTGTACTTGCTCTTTACAGGGCTTTCTCCTCTCTCATCTAGTTGGGGTGTGTTTGTTGTTTGATTTCTTTTTTTTTTTCCAGGACTGATAGTTTAGGAGACAAATTACCACAGTTCACTTGTGGTTCTTTGCTGAATTTTCCCTAATGTGCTTCTGCATCATCAGACAAGTAGCTATAAACATACTGGAGTATTACTAGTTCAGGAGGATATTTGCATCTCCTCTTCCATGCCTAACTGTTCTATTTTGCATTGCAGCCTGCAAGTGGAGAAAGGTATTAAAGTATCAAGTTTTTTTAACCATAATGTTGAGACTCGTCATATTTTTTCAACAGACCTTTGTTGTTCTTGTGTGCTTTATTGCTGTTGTAATAAGCCTGAGTCTGTGTCGTGGAAATAGCACACTTTGTTCTGTTGGCCAGTTGTGTGTGTGACTCTTAAGTGTGTAGTCAGAGGGTGCTGAGCAAACATTTTTAATTTCTGTGTCTACAAGACAAATGTATTGTCTCTACCAAGGTATACCATATCACAGCATAACTTCCCTTTAACTGTTTTAGGCATGTTACAAGTATTTCTCATCTGTTCACAATGAGAAGGTTCTTCTGTTGATGATAGATATAACACAAAAATGTTTTCATGGCCATTTTTGTCTTTAGGTATCAGATGAAGATGAGATCCTGCCTCATAAACTCCAGGCTGCACTTGTACAAATCTTGGAAGAACGAAGTGAAATCTTGTCACATGAGCAGAGTGACACACAAGGTGCTTCTACAGAAAAGTGTTTTCACATTAGCAAATATCTGTACCTTCCAAGTAGTTGATATAAAAGTGAACCAATGGAGATAAACTTTAGGAGGCAACATTTTAGAAAGCTATTTTCCTGTGATCTTACTGAGAACATCTGTCTTGTGAATGTGTTAGAAGTTTTGTGTCCTAACAATCATTCCTCTTTTCACAGTCAGTTTGTGTAGAGCTCTAGTTTTCCTTGGGCCAAGTGCATCAGCTCCCATGCTTTGAGTTTTCTTTGGTTTTTCTTAAGTGGCAGAACATTTTTCTTGAACAGAGAGCTTAGCAAGTTTCTGTACTCTAGAGGATAATCTGACAGATAATTTTCAAGATGAACTGCTTTATACATAATCCATCAGATAAATAAGTGTGAGAATTTTAAAAAGCATGGAGTAGTTTGAGAGAATGGCATTGACAAATTATGTAATTCCATGCACATTGGAAGTAACAAAGTGAGTTTTCCAGTGGGTTTGTGCTCTGTAATTTGCCTAACTCTTTAAGAGAATTAAGCTTAGACTGTTATGAGCTTACAGTTTAGGAGACACTAGATGTTTGACCGGGGAAAAGAAATTATAAATGCTTTAACTACTGGAAAAAGCTTTAGAATGGAATCTGTCTCAGCTGCAGCATAAAGTTGGCACAGGAGAGAAATCTTAGTGTTTGAGCTGTGGCTTCTTTGATATTTTAAACACTCATCTGAAATTTCATAGTCTGAGACAGCCAGCCTAAAAAGTAACTGCTCCTCCTCTTTTAGAAGAGGAACAACCAAAGCAGTGAATGTAGAGGGAAATTTCTCCTCTGTCCTCTTCACAGGTGACATACCTCTTAACTCCCTGGTCTCTGAGGCTTTTGTGCAGTTCTTTGTGGAGATCGTTGGACACTACTCCCTGCACATGAATGTCACAGAAAAAGGAGAGTGGGTGTTTCAGCGAGAACTGTTCCGTAAATCTCATGTGTCACGCAATGTGCGTCATTTCTTGCACTTCTTCATGGAAACGCAGATGTTTGCAGGGTTCATACAGGACCGAGAGCTAAGTAAGAACGTGGTGAAAGGTGAGGTTTGATCTTACTTTCTTGTTTTACAAACTCATTTTCGAAGTACAATGTCACGTGCCTTTGACTCTTAGGAAGCCTTTTGTCCTGGCAAGTTATCCTGCTGGCATTTTGGCATATGTAATAGCTCCATGCCCTTCTAATTACTCAACAAAATTCATCTTACGAAGCAAAGAATTTTTGCATCTCTCTCCTTTCCTTGATCCTGCAGTTTACATTACATGTATGACTTCCTTTTTAGAACTTCCTTGTTAATGATGTAAGATGCCACATGCTAAAAGATAGAATTAGGTCATCTAGGTGAGTGATTTCTTTTATTTTTTTTTTTTCTTTTCTCCCTCTTTAGGTCTTTTTGAGGTCCGTGCCTTGGAGTATTTGGAGAGTAATCCAGCAATGGAGCCAACTGGAATGAACAAAATCCTTCGCAGTCTTGGTAAAGGAACACCCTTGCTTTTTTTTGTTTGTTTGGGTGGTTTCTTTAAATAAATTTAGTTACTGAACAAATAATTGCATGGAAAAGAGAGCAGGGCCCATTCATTGCCTTGTGTGCTTGTGTTCCTTTTGTTTACATTTGCCCCTTTCAGGGGACGCTGAACACATAAGATTTATCTTTCATGCTTAAGCTTTTGCATCTTTAGATAAAGTTTGTGCAAGTTGCCTAACCTTAGAGCTGTCTAAACCTGTCACCTCTGTGCTGGGCTGAGAGCACGCTAAGGGGGCAGAAGCCGTGTCTGCCAGCAGCGCTGGCCACGTCTCGGTCTCCCTGCGCGAAGCTCCTCAGCCAGGCGGCTCCGCCGGCGTTCCGGGTGCTAATGCTGTTTTTTCTCCGTAGGAAGTAAGATGAAATTTCTGCAGAAGAAATGAAGGTGCGCCGGGGGGTGCCGTCGGCCCCGAGCTGTCCGGGAGGGCTGGGGTTGCGCGGACCCCGCGCGCCGCCGCCGTTAATAACCAGCTCGTGGCTCCAACCGCTGCCGTGTCTCCGTTCCTCGCCGCGGGCGGGGCTGGGGGCGGGGCCGAGGGGGGAAAGTGGGCGGGGCTGGTCGGGCGGGGCCACCGCGACGTCGCTGCGTCGCTGGCGGGGTGCGGCCTGGTGCGCACGCGCTCTGCGGGAGGGGCGTGGCCGGGGGCGGCCCGGCGCAGGCGCAGAGCGCGGGTCCGGGATCACCATGGCGGGTCCGGGGTTGGTGGCGGGCGACGTGGTGGTGGACGCGCTGCCCTACTTCGACCAGGGCTACGAGGCGCCGGGCGTGCGGGAGGCGGTGAGTGCGCGGCGGGGCGGCGGGGCGGGGCGGCGCGGCGCCTTCCTGTCTGACGCCCCGTGTGCGCTAGGCCGCGGCGCTGGTGGAGGAGGAGACGCGGCGGTACCGGCCGACGAAGAACTACCTCAGCTACCTGCCGGCGCACGACTACAGCGCCTTCGAGGTGAGGAGGCCCCGCCCCCCCGCCGTCCGGTCCCGCCCCCGCCCCCTCCCCCGGGCGGCCCCGCCGCTCCCGCCCCAGCACCGCTCTCCCCGCAGACCGAGATCATGCGGAACGAGTTCGAGCGCCTGGCCGCCCGGCAGCCGCTGGAGCTGCTCAGCATGAAGAGGTGAGCCGAGGCGGCCGGGCCCCCCCCGGTGCCCGCGCCCCGCGCCGCTGGGTGAGCGGTGCCCGCCGCGCCGTCAGCTCAGCCGGGCGGGCGGGCGGCGTGTTCCAGGTACGAGCTGCCGGCCCCGTCCTCCGGCCAGAAGAACGACATCACGGCGTGGCAGGAGTGCGTGAACAACTCCATGGCGCAGCTGGAGCACCAGGCGGTCCGCATCGAGAACCTGGAGTTGATGTCTCAGCATGGCTGTAACGCTTGGAAGGTGTACAACGAGTAAGGCCTTCATCTGCTTTGCTGAACCTAGCTGAAGTTCTGGCTTCAGCCTCTGTGTGTTTCTCATGTTCTGCTGCATGCGTCCAATGGGGACCTTTAGAACACGCCCGGGAGTAACTGAGCCCCTTTGAGAGAGATTGATGTGAAAGAAAAGGAGGCAGATCTGAAAGAGATGGAACCATCTCTATGGCCAAGGAATAGCCTGTCTTTCAATACATCCCAATCTTCAATTTTTGGAGTTATTGTTTGGGAAGCAAGTTGCTGATAATGGGCCTTAATGGGGGATAGCTAAAGGGACTAATGACAGCCTGTAAAATGATAATTCAGTAGTGGCAGTAAAGATGACTTACTAGTGATTCTGCTCAACTTGGAGCCGTTATTAATAAAGCTGTTGCAAAAGCCAAAAAAAGTTGTAGACGGTGTGGCTGCAGGAAGCATCAGGGCTATGTCAGGCAGAGAACGTTAGTGTCCGCTTCTGAGAAGGCTTAGCTTAACCTTAGGTAAAGGTGTAGACAGAAGGATTGTGAAACATAACCTTTGAGAGAAGGCAAAGGGTTGCTTAGCTTAGGAGAAGGGAGGCAGGTAGAGGATCTATTAGCTCACACATATGTCAGGAAGTGAAAAGAAGTGTTTGTGCTCTGACAATATTATATGAGGGAAACAGTAGAAATTGGTTACAGGTAATTTTAGAATTAAAATTAGAAGGTGGGTGATAAGGTAGGGAGACGTTGCAGTAGCATTCTAGTCAGAACACTACAAGCATAAAGTAACAAGCTTGAAGATAAAACTTGATTGGCTAATGGCAAGTGATAACCATAGTGATTATTGAAATTTTATGTCTTAAAGTTGCGTATGTTACAACTGGAGTGTTTTGGTGTTGTCATTCCCTTCGTGAGGGAAGAGCACAGACTGCACTGAGGACAAGTTATCTGGTATTTGCATTGAGGTGGCTTGTTGCATCCTTAACTTTGAAGAGTTAAATTGCAGGTTAAATGGGTCTGATCTAGCAACTGTATGTTTTCTTAATGCTTTGCTTTGCATTCTGCTATTAGACATCTGGTTCATATGATAGAACAAGCCCAGAAAGAGCTTCAGAAGTTGAGGTGAGTCATTCTTTTTCATATTTTCATACTGAAGTTGGAAGGAAAGTGAACCCCTTCCTGCCTCCCTCACCCACCCAAACTATACAAAGGCTTGTCTATATGCTGCTGCCATGGTTATAGGAAAAAAGACCAATTAATAACAATAATTAAGAAATCTGACTGTGCCCTCCCTAAGCAGTTACATTCATAGTGCCTACTCCACTCAAAGTCTGTTTTATTTTGTCTGAACCCCTGCTTTGAACAGAATGGATTGTGGTGGAACCCTCTCTGAAATGCAGTCATATTTTCTTTTCACTGCTGATAAACTTTGGTTTAGTGTGCAGTTGTCTCAGCGAAGAGATGTTCCCTGATGATAGGTTTGGCCTATCATTTTAAAGCAGATGTTTTCATGAGTTTACTGAGATGGATTACTCAGGGATGGAGGCTGTAGTACATTGAAACAATGCACCTTCGTAATTCACTCTAGACAGCATCCTGTGGACTTGCAATGTAAAGCTTTTCAGCTTTCAGATTTAGGTGCTGTCATTTTCAGTCTGAAGATGAGACTATACTGGGACATGGGTAGAAGGCAAGTTGCATAGTGATTCATATCTTTTATCAATACCTTTTATCAGTGTGTTTAGATTATCTGGAATTACTGTCTTGGACAGAATCAATGTGGGACAGGGTAGAAGGAGAACTCAAGCTGGGAAAGCAAAAGGAACACCATGACCTATGGCAAGGAGGCGAACAGAATAGGAGCGTTAGCAGTGTGAACTAAGAACTACTTAGAGACCAAAGTGGTTTAAGTATTCTGCACTTCCCAGGTGCTTTGTGAATGATTAGCCATTCATCTTTTCTAACTTTTTTTCAGAGAGAACAAAAACGTTTTCTCTGTTCTGCACTTGTCCAGGAGCAGTAGGCTTGCATGTTTGAAGCTTTGCTTGTAGTAGAGTGGAAGTTTTTTTTTGTTTTGTTTTGGTTTTTTTTGTTTTTTTTGTGTGTGTGTGTTTTTTTTGTTGTTGTTGTTTGTTTTGTTTTGCTTTTTAATTCTGATTCTGCGTGTAGCCCTCTACTGGGATTTGTCCATCTTTATGTTGTAGTTATGGTCCTGGTTACACAAGTGTTTTCTGGTAGTATGTCTAGAGATTAGGTATATTTTGAAATTAACAGCAGATATTACAAATTATAAAGAAAGGAGAAAAAAAATACATAGATCTTTTTCTCACCAGGAAAAACATTCAAGATCTGAACTGGCAACGAAAGAACATGCAGCTCACAGCTGGGGCTAAACTAAGAGAAATGGAATCGACGTGAGTATCTAGAATTTTTCCATTAAATCTTCCACAAGCATGTCTTTTGCTTCAAATTCTTCCATTCAGAGCATCAGTGATCTTTCTGTTGCAGGATGTTACTGTGTGAATACTGGTGCTTTGCTCCAGGTGTTTTAAAGGATTTGTAATTCATGTCTGTGTAATAGTTACTGTGGTTTAGTGAATCAGTGAGAACAGATGTGAAAGGAAGGGCGTATTAGCTGCTTGAAATTGCCTGTTTAAATTGCTTCTTAAACTCTTCTATATCTAAATACTGGAGGGTAGTGGATTTGAGCCTAGTAAATGAAATTTTGTATGTTAAGGTTTAACAGCGTTAAAACCTACTTTTTTATCCCTTTGATTGTTCAAATTACCATTGATATCAACTGAGATTTATCAGGTACTGAGAAAGACGCTGCTTTATTCAATGTCTTTGTGCTTTCTTTGGAGTGATAATTGTCTTTGATTTTAAAACAGGACTGTTAAATAACACTTGAAGACATTTTTATTTCTTTTCCCTTCCAGATGGGTGTCTCTTGTCAGTAAAAATTACGAGATTGAACGAACTATTGTGCAGCTAGAAAATGAAATTTCACAAATCAAACAGCAGCACGGGGAAGCAAACAAGGAGAATATCCAGCAAGAATTCCAGTGACTTAACCTCTACTGTTTTACTGCAGCATACATTAAAAAAACAAACCAAAAACTTTGGAGATGCTATGTGTTTGTAGAAATCTCTAGATGCATTTATGGAAGGTGATAAAAAGGTATACTGTTTCTTTTCCTTGTTTTAAATTCTAGAAGGCGGGGTGGACTCAGAATGTCCTGTTCAAATGTATTATGGGCACCGTTAAATGTACTGTGAATTGTTTTACTTTTGGTATACCTAAAGTAGAAGCTCTTAAACCCCAGCTGTTTTCATGTTTTTGCGTTTTCCCCCTATGCGTTTAATAAGCGTTTTGCTTTCTGTATGGCTTCTTTGCAGCCTGAGTGCTGTCAGCGCGGTCGGCTTTGCCCGATGAGCCCAGCCACTGGCCCTGCGTGGGAGGCTGCTGTGGGAGCCCCACGCGGGGAGTGGCACTGCAAGGGTGAACGCTGGTGGGGTGCGGTGTCCCGGAGGAGCTGCTGCGCCCGAGGGGCTTTCCTGCCCTGCGCTGCACGGGTGTAATGTGAATCACCCCCTTACCTTCTAATGCGTATTTATAATTTTCCTCACCCGTGTGGTACAGCACGGTGGCCGCATTGCTGCGGGTCTCGCCGCACCACAACCCGTCAGCATCCTCGCGGCTGACCGGCTGATCCAGCTCCTTCCCCCGGCAGCGTCTTCAGTCGCGGGCCGGGGCTGCCCCCCCCCGCCGCTCCCTCGGGCCGTCCCGGGGGGTAGCGGCTTCCTTGCTTCCTCCCGGGCTGGCTCTGCCGCCGGGGCCGGCCCTCGGCTCCGGAGGTAACGGCAGGGCCGCCGCAGCGCTCCCCGCCGCGGTGCCCGTGGCAGCGGCGGCTTCTCTGGGCGCCGCGGCCGCCATCTCCCGCTCCCATCCGCGCGCTCTGGCCCCCCTCCGGCGATTGGCTAGGAGGCCGCCGGCGCCGGCCAATGGGGATTGATCTCGCCGGGCGGTGACAGCCCCGCCCCGGCCGGCGCACGTCGCGACGCGCCTTTGCGGACGCCCCCGTGGCCCCGCCTCCCCGCCGGGGCGCGCGCACGCCGCGCCGTG